CTGTGCAAAGGTGCCGTAGTGAGCTAAATGCCTTCTACAAATGTAAGGCATCGTTTGTTTGGATTCTAGTAAAATTTATATAAAGCAATGTCCCTTTTGCAGTCTTAAAGATAATCTAGATTTTTATTCTGTTTAACTTTTGTAGATTGTTTTTTTGTTATATTATGAAGTTTACCTGGCAGTGTTAATATTCTGATTTTTTTCAGTTCACAAATAGTTATTTTCCAGTTTAAATATGAAAATTAAAGACATTTTACTCAGACTGTCTAAAATATAAGTTGAAACTAAAACTAAAGTTGACATTTTCTATGTAGGAAACAGCTGTATTTGGAAATTTTTATGTACCTAAAAACTAAATTATGTGACAGAAACTAATGTGCATAGGAGTATGCAGAATTTAATAAATAACCAGACTTACTTATATCTTATTTGTTTAATGTTTCTCCTGATTAAGTTAATAAAATATATTATTTTGAAATATCACTTTAATGTATTCTTGTTTTTCTTTTTCAGGAACAGTATGAATTCTGCTACAAAGTGGTACAAGATTTTATTGATATATTTTCTGATTATGCTAATTTCAAGTGAAGATTCCTGCCTTAAAATATTTTTTAATTTAATGGTCAGTATATTTTATAAAAATCATGTTAATTTATTTCATAGTTGACATTAATATCCTTCCTAATTTTTTTGTATATATTTTGTTATGCTTTAAAGGCCACCTGCTATAGAGTTATAAAGTCTTAAATACCCTTTTTAAAAATTGGAGTAATGTATTAAGGTCAAATAATATGCCATAAAATATATATTTCTGCTAATATTAGTAAATATCTTAATTTTTCATTAGATTCATATCATTAATTTCACATGTTCAGCACCTCTAAATGTTGTAAATCTTAACATGCCAAATGTGCTTATGCAAGATTCTAAACACAAAGTCCATTGTTAAGAAAACAGTCGAGGACTCAGAAATCAGCTGAAAATTCCCTTTCCTGGCATGGATTTTGCAGCCCTGAACAGCAGCATTTTTGAAGGCAAACTGTTCATGAAGACACAATATAAATAGGGACTTTTGTAAAGTCCTCAATCTCAGCCCATGTGCATCTTTTAAAGATCACAGAAGACTTTACCACCTGAATCCAGGTCTAAAACACACTACAGTAGTTGTGACTATATATGATATTTAAAAATGCACTTATTCAAGGCTCTGCCTGTACCGTCTTGGCTAGAAGAGAGATGCAAATGCCAGGTGGTCCCGTTCGCCCACTGCCTTGGGTACAGCACAACCAGCCATCAGAGCTGCACTCCCAAAGCACCATCTGCTGTCCCTCTGTCTGTCTGTTTGACTCAGGTGACCCTCGGCGAGTCAGACCCACTGCCATCCTCATCTCCCCTCCTACTCTGCCTCGGGCAAGCCGCACCCTGAGGCTGCACACAGGACCCCTCCCATCGCATTCAAATAAAGCCCAACATCCCACACACAGAGTCGAGGAGCACACATTTGGGTAGAAACAGTGGGATAACTACAAGCAATTATACTTCAAAATTTCTGAGAAGCATTTTGGTATTTAAAAATTTCTTGTAAAAAGCTAAGATTGTTTGTTAAGAAAAGAAATCCTAAAATCTAGATTTATACAGTTTTTTTAAAGCCACACTGCTCAATGTTTAATAAAAGAAAAAGAGAGAGAAATCCTTAATCTAAAGGCTAACTTATTTTTGATTGGAAATACTACTGAGACCTCTCACACTGGCAAATAATGATGATCCCAGTGCCAGATAGAATTGACTTAGGGGCAAAAAAAGAGAAAAAGAAAAAAAAGGTGGGACGATGAATGTAGAAACATTTAATGTAAGAACAGTTATCTTTAAGTGGGCCATTAGGTACCTAGCTGATGAGCACAATAGAAGAAACAACACATCTGGTCTCACTTACTAAAAGCATTTAATATGTGCATTTGGGGTACAATTTTTGCTTTGTAGAGATACGAAGGCCTTATTTGACATTTTCTGTAATAACTACATGCCCCTTCCCATTGCACTATTCAGCCCTATTCACTTACAGCGCATGCAAATGCAACCCCACGGTAGGCTCCTGTTCTGATGATGGGGTCACAGGTAATGGAGCTTCCCGCAGCTCCATGGCTCAGAGCTGCCATCCCAGGGCATGAGTTGGCACCCAGCTGGGAGGACAAAAGCTCACCTGTGACCAGCCGCCCCCTGGGCTGTCACCACTGGATTCACCCCACTTTCCTCTGTGCAGGGATTAAGCATTCAGGTGGAAGAGGAAATGGAAGGAGCTTTCTGAGACTCTCCAGCTGGTCCTACTTGCTTTCATTGTTAAAATCCCAAACCCAGAAGCCTTTCTTTGACTAAAGGAGAAGGCAGGGACATAAGCTTTCATTCAGCACCTGAACCTTAGAAGTGTAGCCGGCTCATTATGATGAAGGTGACGTTACACTAGTAATTTATTTGAGTTCAAAGTCAGAAGTCGAGGATCATGGACTTTAGCCCAAATTTAGGAGCCCTTACTCGGAATGTCTGAAGCCCTTTCGTGGTCTAACTGGCATCTCTTGTATCAAGAAGTACCTTTAAGGTAGACCTTTCGGGGTGTCCTCAGGAAAGTGCCCCACTTACGTGGGACCATCCCCACGTGTTCACTGCAGGGGTTCTGCCTGTTCCCAAACCTTTCCTGTTCCAGAAACAAAGCAGAAGCCACTCTCCCTTGGATGCAGGACCCCCTCCCCAGTTGGGGCAGCACTTGACCTCCAGAGGGACTGGTCCCTGCAGTCTCCAGGCCTCTGCAGCATCCCCCGTTCAGGCTCCTTGGGCCTTAGAGCAGCTGCATGCCGAGGGACTGACGACCAGCCGGGGGACTCAGAATCTTCTCTGTGCACCTGGGAAGTCCGTCTTCTTCCCTTCAGTCAAAGAAAGCCCATTGTACATAACTAGACAGCCCACTGCCAGCAACCTTCTTCCTTTCACGTTTCTCTGCATCGCATGCAGTTGCATTCAAATGCCAAATAGTGATCAGAAGACTACCCTCCTGATCTGTACGCTTCATTGGTCACTGTGTGACTTCTTAGGATTTCTCTCCATGTGCTGTACGAATGAAGAATGCGTTACCAGTGTTTTAAGAGGTATTTTTATGTGTTTTTAAAAACATTTAAAAATGAGCCTGACACTTGTGTTTCAGCATTTGGAGACATGTCCATGTTATTTTTTCAAATGTACAATTACTGATACATTTTGTTTATATGTTTTAACTAAGTTGTGTTTAATTTATGTGCAATCTTTATAATATATGTATTACAGTTTCAACTATCATGTTTTCTTTTATTGCATTTATGATTTGATCTTGCTCCAATTATAATGCCAGTGAATGTTGCTGAATTCTTTGTATATGCAAATTGCAAGATCTAAACCATTCTGATGTGAGGATAAACCTTTACTTTGACTGCCAGCCTGCATCTCTTTCTTCACGTCTAATTTCATTCCTGTGCCTTACGTGCGTTTAAGCAAGACACTCATTTGGAGGCGAGGATTGGTTTACATGGATAATTAGTTCAGGATTTTGAAGGTTTAGCTCCAACCTCACCTAAGGCACAAGTGGGCACAGTGGCACTGTTGTGGGGTGGCAGGTGGGCCAGCCCAGCTCTTGGCTGGTCTGCAGAGACCACAGCTGTGTGAATCACAGTGTCATAACTCACCCTCCAGGGAGCCTTTTCCTCCTGGAGTCCGAACAGGAATCTGAGCCATGAGCAGTCGTCTCCCAAATCTCTGCAGAGATGACAGCAGGTTTTGAAGTTCTCAGCCAGGTGAATTCAAAACTCCTTCTAAAGCTGCTTTTCTTCCTAAAATCTGAAACCCCAATAGGCCTCTCTTTGCTCACCTTGTGCACCTGTTATATCTCCAATGACCTGACTGTCTCTCTGCCCACCTCCCAACCTTGCCCCACAACCAGTTTCCTCCTTCAGAGGCCCTGGGCCTAATGTGGAATTTAAACATACTATTTTTATTATTTGTTATAGTTATTTAATAAATGGTATGAGTTCTGTTATATTTATTTAAATGGAAATTTAAACAAATTGGCAGGCCAGCAGGTGCATGGACTAGGGGGTGCCCCTCAGTGGGCTTACATGCCGTTTCCACCCAGGGGACTCATGGGGAGGGGGAAACAAAGCCTTCACCCCAAACCCAAGCTCCATACTCGAGACAGCCTGGCAGCCAATGGGGTGCCCTGTCGCCTCTGCCTGCCACCTCCAGCCAGAGTGGAGGCCCCCCCCATTATGGGATGAATTTTGTCCCCCCCAAATTCACTTGTTGAAGTCCTAATCCTGAGTACCTCAGAATGGGACCTTGTTAGGAGACAGGGTCATTACAGATGCAGTAAGTTAAGATGAGGTCATGCTGGACCAGGTCCATGCATGCCCTAGTCCAATGTGACTGTGACCTTATAAGAAGAGGAAACTTGGACACAGAGAGAAGGCCATGTGAAGACGAAGGCAGAGATGGAAGCGATGCTTCTATAAGCCCAGGAACACCTGAGGCTGCCAGAAACTAGGAGACAGGCACAGAATAGGTGCTCTTTCACAGCTCTCAGAGAAAACTCTGCCGACACCTAGATTTGGGATTTCTGGCCTCTGGAACTGTGAGAGAATAAGATTCAGTTGCTTGAGCCACCCAGTTTGTGGCACTTTGTTACAGCAGCCCCAGCAAACTGACACACCCCACTGTATCCCCTACAGGCTGAGGTCTCTAAGTTTGGGTTTATCCAAAAGAAATGCCTGGAGCAAGGACCTGGGTGTACCTGGTGTGGCTGGGAGGGAACTGCAGGAGGCAGGACGGAGGGGACAGGAGCTGCTCAGAAGAGCGTTACTGAGGCCAGCACTGGGGACTCCACACCACTGACATGCCAGAAGAGCCCCACAAATTGTCTAGGTGAAGGGCAGGATGCTGGCACTGACCCACAGCTCTGCCCCCAGGTTGAAGGTTGTCCCCAGGGCTGCCGGCTCCCTGACACATCGTGCCATATTTGCCTCTGAGCCTGCTGCCACTGAAGCCAAAGGAGGACCAGGGGATGTGACAGAACACACGAGGCCTCTGCTGTGGTCACCAAGCTCCCAGGCTTGGCCTCTAACTGCCCATGGGCTTGGCAGCTGTGTGTCAGTGTGGAGCAATGGAGGTCCCAGTGAGAGCTCGGGCTGTCTGCTGGGACGCCAGGAGGGCAGCTTCAGGGCACTGGACAGCTGTGTCCCAGCCTGGGGAGGGTCTGGTGGCCACTTGCACTGCCACTTGTACATCCACTGCCCACTAGCTTGTCTCCCATGTGGTCCAGGGGCCTTACAGAGCCAGCTGCCCCTGGTGTCAAAGGATGGAGCCACACCAGCAATAGGGGGAGACGTGTTTGATGTACAAGTTTAAACCAACCAGAAATATACAGCGTACATATAAATTTGGCCCTTTACCTAACTCCTCTCCCCAAACCACAGCCTACTGATAACTCAGGAGTACATCTCCCAACAGACAACTGTCTGCAGGTTTAAACTGTACCACTGCATAGACACACAGAGTCAAGCTCCTGTTGTTTGGCATATCATCAGATTCAGATTACAGCTGTCAGTTGCACGTTCCTAGACGTCACTAACCCTGGATATGAGCACACATTTTAGTTTTTGCAAAACTAATAAGCAAAAAAAAACCCAAACCCAACTTAATTTTAATTTGCAATTCCCAAATTTCTAGTAAGTTGAGCATCTTTTCATATGTGTATTATTTGTATTTTATCAGTGAGTCTGCTATTCATATTTTTATTTTCCTAATTTATTGTCTTTTTTAAAAAAC